GATTCTGCGTAATAAGTACCTACATTCTAAAACCTTGTCTCAAGTGACAGTGAGACCGACCGACTCTCCATTGAGCTATGCTATACACACGACAAAAATGGACGACTCATAGACGATGTTTAAAATCCGGCCACACATGCGTGCATACATCAGGCACCAGCCGTTGAATTTCTGTGTCGTGCATGCGTCGGCCAGGAGAATCGTGCATGAAGCAATTTCGCTCTCCATTTTGGATAGGACTGATGAGAGTTAAATCAGCATTCTTCCATCGGGCAAAATTCATTATCGGTAATGGTACTTCCACGAGATTCTGGGAGGACACGTGGCTAGGGGAGACGCCTCTAGCTATCCAATATCCTTCTCTCTATAATATTATTCAATGTAGAGATGCTTACATTACAACAGTACTACAGTCCATTCCCCTCAATATTCAATTCAGGAGGACTTTAGCGGCAAACCGTTGGGAAGTTTGGCTCCATCTTGTGAGAAGATTGATGGATGTTAACCTCTCTCAATAGCCAGACCAGTTGCACTGGAAACTTACTTAGAATGGAGTGTTTTTGATAAAATCCATGTATATGGATATTATTAATTCTGGCTTTATCCCTTAATATTTGCATATTTGGAAAGTCAAGGTGCCCTTAAAAATTAAAGTATTTATGTGGTTTGTTCACAAGCAAGTCATTCTAACTAAGGACAATTTGGCTAAGCGTAACTGGACAGGATCACGAAGATGTAGTTTCTGTGATCATGATGAGTCTGTCAAACACCTCTTTCTTAATTGCCCAATGGCAAAAAAAATATGGCGGTTTGTGCACATAGCTTTCAACATTACTCCTTCGAATACCATCCACACGTTATTTGGGACGTGGCTGGATGGAGTATAACCTGAAACCGTGAAACTTATTCGTGTAGGAGTGTGTGGTTTATTATGGGCTATCTGGAATTGCAGGAACGATTTGGTTTTTAACAGAACAACACATATTAATTTCTTGCAGGTTATTTTTTGGGCCACTACACTGCTCCGTATGTGGTCGCTACTCGCTCCGATGGATGCCAGTGAGCGTATGGTTACTGGGTCTATCTATTGGGAGACGGTAGCACGGGCTATTTTCAATCGGTTTAGATGGTGGTCATGTAATAGGATAGGTGTTTAGTTTCCTATCTTTCTTTATTCTGCCGGTTGTGGCTATTCCGTTTTCTTTCAGTTAGCTCTTTGTGAGCCTTTTTGTATTTCGAGACCTGATGACTTTTGTTGGACTATTTGCTTTCTAATAAGATGGCCGCATGCATCTTTTTGATGCAGGGGCCGGGGGATAACCTCCTTTTAGAAAAAATGGCCAACAAGCATAAGTAAGATAAAGAGTTCTTGAGCAACAAGCACCACACACTCTCGGAGTAGAGGATGAGCTCCATGGACATGATCTCTTAGATATGCTTAGTCGTAGCATTCATACTTTGCCGGAGCGGCTACAAAAGCATTCTAGTAAACAATTTTAATGGATAATGGTGTTCGGTATGTACTATAGAAAAGAATAAACATTCGCCTCAATGTACTAACCTTGCACACGATAACAACAACACCACAGTTAAGACAAACTGGACGAAGTTCTTCAGCACACTTAACCCGATCTAACATGCACCTTTTCCTATTCCAATATTGCTCTTTGCTCTGAGCATGAACTTAGAGTAATCATCCTTTGCCTCCTCACTAGTGTTAAACCTTTCATAGCAGCTGCCCTTGTAACTATACACTTGTTTATGATACGTCTGCCATGAATCATACACTCCTGGTTACCTCCCTATGTACACCACATACCACTTCATCTACAAAGACAGAAGAACACGATTTCAACAAGCAGGGGAAGCAACACAAGGTTAGAAGAACAGACGGAACATAAGCAATAATGATCCGTATACCCAAAAACATCATAGGTTATACTCAAATTCTACTCCCAGTAGACATCAACACAACTACATTCACTACATTGACATCAAACTACCTAGCTAGGATACTCCAAGAATGGAGCTCTACTCAGACTGGTAGTTGATGAAGCCGGTCATCGTGGAGTCAGACCAGGTGGGTCTCTCCCACCCCCACTCCCACCCCTAGCCGCGCCAATATCTATAGAACTGCGGGGAGATGAAGGGGGCATGTGGGTGCAAAATTAAGCCGAGTGTTTCATTTCAGATACTCGGCTTACAGGCAGGCGAGTTTTTTAAAAGTAAAAAGTAAAATTAAAGCCGAGTACGTCGTTAATGGATACTAGACTTCATGGAGAATTTGAGCTCTGGTTGGATGGACACGTGACAGCCAACCAACCACAATGTCGAGGCTCATCTATTAGTCGAGTGTTTTCAACTAGATAAGCCAAGTACTCAATGTAAGTCGAGTGCATTATTAGTTATGATCGGCTTGTATCGTGATATGTCGAGGTTCTCACTGTTGGCGTGTGCTTTTATCTTGGTACTCAGCTTACAGGTGTATAACTAAGCCGAGTATCTGACAAATGGCAGTCGCGTGTGCTGAAACACTCACTACATGTGTTTTTCCCGTAGTGTTAGCAAGTATTCATATGAAGGAGTTTGCCAACTGCTGCCTCCTTTCTAGTTTGTAAGGTCAACACGTATGTTTAGATCAACAATTTAATCACCATAATATGAGGTACATATCACAAAAATATACCATTAAAATTTTGAATGTTTTATTTTCTAACGGTATAAGTTTTGTGATATACAATTTGTATTTCATTGATTGAATTGGCCATCCATTGGTGAACTTGAGACTTACATATTGGAAATATGGGGAGTTGAAATCTCAAGCTAGGATGATGCGTGCGTCTTACCCGAGATGAGCGGCAATATTTACACCTTTTACCGAAGCAAGAGCAGGATTTTGCCCTGAAAAAAAGTAGGAATAAGAATGGTTAGATTGGATCGGTTGAGTCTAAGTTGTCGTGGTTCTATCAGTGCCAATCTGATCACGTTCGGCACAGGATCTACGATAGTTGGTGTAAATGGATATTAATGCAATTATAGATGCCGGTTTCCCACACACCACATATTATTTTACTGTTAGTGTTTGTTCGGGACGGAAGACTTGTGAACCAAACACATATATGGTCTTTAAAATCCGTGTTTGGGTCATAAACAATTTGTCACATCAGGCAGCTACTTTTATCATATCAACAAGTGTTCAAGTTGTTAAGTGGCTTGCTCCGAGCAAGCAAATCACAAGCATATAGCTCCTTTTGTTGCTATATTGACGCATCGTTATTCTTGCACACAACAAGTCACATCATAGAAATTTTAATTGATGTCTACTTGCCAAATTGGTTGTCTAGGACAACTCAGCTCAAATAAACCATCCTCGGCTATCTCTCTTTTTTTTCCCGAAAATCCTTGGACCATGTTTATGGCTAAACCTTACTTGAGGCACCAAATATGTGCAGAGCACATTGCTGCAGTGGAGAGTCTCAGCGAAAATGGGACCAAAACAATAAGTGTAGCTATATGAGATGATTTTTTCCAGAAAACATGCAATCAGATGCTCGGACCGGGTATTCAGGATAAAAATCCTTGTCACATCTATGTATGGCTGAAAGTGAGTATGTTCTTCCTTCTTGAAGACCTTGCCATGCAAGAAGACAATTTAGTGATAGGTATGTTATCATATTCTGTGATGGTTGTATCATTATTATCCATGTTATACCCTACTACTTGTTAATGATTTTTTTTGGCTATGTTGCCTTGTATCACCTTCAATAATATTAGGATCACATCAAATAATTTGTGCCTAAGTTGCCTTATCACCTCTAACAATGATGCAGGGACGATTGAAAAAGATCATGAAACTTTTCCTTGTCATCCCTAGCCCGGCGTCGCTCCTCCCCGTTGTCCCTGGCCACGAGCTAAGCTGCACCACGAGAGGAGGAGCGCCTATACAGGAAAAGCTCAGGTACATGAATAAGATGTACACATAAAAGTGGATGTCTGGCCACCGTCGCCAATTCCGATGAATCCTTGCGTTCCGGACAACGAAATTGCGCCCCTAGGAGAAGGATGAGGGCAAGAACTCATTCAGATGAGGAAGTGCCCTAGCTATGGCCCAGCGAGGATGAATTTCGCCTATTTTCTCGACTACTTCATCTCATGCCTACATTGCACATGGCGAGTCTCTGTCAAATTAATTACTTTTGTGGAGCATCGTCTATCCTAGGTCCTAGCTAGCTCATGAAATCATCTAGTGGCGCGAGAAGTCGATGTTGTCAATGTCGAAGAAGAAGAAGGAAGATGGAAGAAGAAGGAGAGAGGCTTCCATGTGGGGTATATATAGTTCGTTGGAGGAGTTAAATTTGAGAGTTCGGTTAGGTTAGCATTTTCTTTAACTCCTTAAATTTGAGGAGTTAAAACTTAGGAGTTCCGTTAGAGATGCCCTAAGGGTGTGCGGCTTATTAAGCGAACTGGCACTCTACGGTTGGTGTGAGAGTCCAACACTTAAACGGGGTAAAATTTTGAAATTTTCGTGCTAAGTGAGGTAACTGGATGAACTCTTGTTACATATGGGGTAATTGTTGTTACAAGTGCAAAAGTAATTGATAAAAATGGAGTTCACTCAAAGATGAATATTTTTATATATTGTGCTAAAGGACAGGAAGATATTATTTTGCTAATTTGCATCAAGATGATGCGAAGATCAAACCTTCAGCCTCTGCCCTTGAGCACACAGCCAACTAAAAGTGTCGAGAGTGAAGTAAAGGTGGCACAAACGGCAGAAAATGAGCACACGGCCAAGTTACATGTAATACACACCGGAAATAATAAAAGGGCTACAAATCTTAACGGATGCCAAATATGAATGACAAATACAATTATATATTCTAGTAGTATCCAAAATAGAATTGCAGAGGGTACGATTTCCATGTATGGAAATTTGCTAGACTGTCTCGAGAAATGGTAATCGCAGGCAGCAACCAACAATGACAGAGAATGGAAATGCGTCAAATGCGCCAGCACTTGGTGCCGTCGCCGTAAAAGAGCACCGGCGTGCTGTTGCTCGGCGGCGGGAACCAGAGCCAGCAGTCGTACTTGTAGAAGAAGATGTCCTTGATGAACAACACCTTGTACATGAGCGTGAGCGACACGGTGACCCTCAGGTGCACCGTCCCCGCCGCGCGCTCCCTCTCCAGCTCTGCCACCACGCCGGAGTCCACGGTCACCACGCCATTGAACGCTGGATGTAACACCTGCATGCACTCAATCAGGTTTAGCTCCTCTAGCTAGCTAAGCCACCCACAACTAATAACCTATCAAGTCAGGGGTCGTGTAGTGTACGTACAATTGTGTTCTTGGGTCCCTGGCGGAAGCTCGGGAGCGCGTCGTCGGTGGGGCCAAGCCTGGTACCGTTGTAGTACATGGATGCCGCGACGTCCAGGTAGAGGATTGAGACGCGCTGCGTGTTCCGGAAGCTGAGGTCGACGGCGAGGTCATACCGGAGACTGTCGTTGGTGATGTGGAAGGTGGCGAGGACGGCGGAGTCCGTGCGTGGGTGGAAGCGATCCGGGCGGTAGATGAGCCAATAGATGAGGAAGGTGGCAGTAATCGGGGCCCACATCTCCACGCAACACAATCCGCAGCTGAAGCAGCATTTCAAGCAAAAGAAAAGATCCGTGAACTTTTTTTTCAAATTCTTGAAGTGCTCTTTTAGGCCACCCTTGCTTGCAAATCTCGCCGGTTGTCTGTTCTTGCTGCTCCGAGTCCTCACTCCCCATGGTTGCCGCGGCCTGTGCTTGCTGGTCGCCTTGCTCCATCGTGGTTGAGGGCAGAGACGGCATGTCGACACCGACGGGGGTCGAGGTGGCCATGGCGTAGAACCCCCGTCACGATGCGCCGCGGTGGTAGCGGCAGGCTGGTGGTCGATCTCTAAATATGTCTGTAGTACTCGTGTACTGTGTGTGGAGGTGGGGGTGGGGGTGGGGGGTGCTGTTGTTACCTTAATCAGGTGGAGATAGATAAGATGTATATATAGATTTCTTTTTTTTCCAAATAGATGTATATATATAGACTAATGGGCAAGTCCATTTGTTTATCCATTTCTGAGGTGTAAATTAGCTTGATCGCTAACAGCATCGATCGAGATCTATATATAGTCCTCCACGTCCACCAATACTAAGCACAGCGATGGAAAACCAAGTTTAGCTGTCAAGTCAGGAGTGTATATAGTTAACGAGCACTCGCACCTCCTCAATCAAACCTATCTATATCTCGATTGTTTGTCATAATTGTGCGAGAGCGGACATGTCTTACCTCAATGTGAGGCGACGTGTTGCGTGTTATATGCAGGGGCGCAGGTTCCCTGGATAGCGCATACATGCGGTTTGAAGAGAATCAGGAGTACAACTTGGAGAGGAAGAATAGAGGAGATAAGGCTAGCTAGTTACAAGTACAACAGAAAAGAGATAACAAGCCCGGCTCTAACAGCCTCTATACGTATCTACGTTGATCTCCTGCACATATACGCCTTGTTTGACACCCTCCCTTAATCACAACTTCATTAAGTTGAGATTATGCTTGAAGTCTTCAAAACTCCTTACGGGCAAGGCTTTTGTAAACCCATCTGCCACTTGATCCCGTGAGTGAATAAAGCGAATGTCCAAGAGTTTGCCAGCAACTCTTTCCCTGACAAAATGAAAATCTATCTCGATGTGTTTTGTCCTGGCATGAAACACTGGATTCGCAGACAGATAGGTGGCACCAAGGTTATCACACCATAAGCATGGAGCCTGAGAGCTTTTCACACCCAACTCCTTTAAGATAGACTGTACCCATATGATTTCTGCCGTTGCATTGGCCAAGGCCTTGTATTCTGCTTCAGTACTAGACCTGGAGACTATAGCTTGTTTTCTGGCACACCATGATATGAGATTGGGTCCAAAAAATACTGCAAAACCATCAGTTGAGTGTCTGTCATCCAAGCATCCTGCTCAATCTGAGTCAGAAAAAGCACTGACAAGAGTAGATGGTGACTTGCTGAAATTCAGTCCAACATTCAGAGTGTATTTAACATATCTGACAATGCGCTTGGCAGCAGTCATGTGAACTATAGTGGGTGCATGCAGAAACTGACATACTTTGTTAACAGCAAAGGAAATGTCTGGCCTGGTCAATGTTAAGTACCGAAGTGCACCTACAAGACTTCTGTATTTTGTACTGTCTTCTGGACTTAGGAGTGTTCCCTCTGCAAGAGATAATTTTTCTGTACTAGAGAGAGGAGTGGGTGTGGGTTTACAACCTTGCAAGCCTGCCTTCCTTACCAAATCTGTTGCATATTTTTCCTGAGAGAGATGTAGCCCATCCTTATGCTGCTTCACCTCAATTCCTAGGAAGTAATGTAATTCTCCTAGATCCTTAAGAGCAAATTCTGCACCTAAGTCCTTCAGGAGTCCTGATATTGCTTCATCAGATGAACTTGTGACAATAATATCATCAACATATATAAGGACAAAAATAGAGGTGTTGAACTTGTTATAAATGAACAAGGAGGTGTCAGATTTGGAAGGAACAAAACCAAGTGTCTGCATCTTTTTACTGAGACGAGAATACCATGCCCTTGGAGCTTGTTTCAGTCCATATAATGCTTTATCCAACTTGCACGCATGAGAAGGTGTACGTTTGTTTTCAAACCCAGGAGGTTGTTTTATGTACACTTCCTCTTCCAGAACACCATGGAGGAACGCGTTCTGTACATCTAGCTGGCGAAGGCTCCATCCCCTGGAAACAGCAATAGACAGCACAAGACGAATGGTAGCAGCTTTTACAACTGGACTAAAGGTGTCTTCATAGTCTATGCCATACCGTTGTTTGAAACCCTTCGCAACAAGTCTAGCCGTATAACGATCAATGGTTCCGTCAGACTTTCTCTTAATTCTGAATACCCACTTGCAATCAATGAGGTTTTTACCTTGCTGTGGAGGAACCAAATGCCATGTTTTGTTTTTCTCAAGAGCCTTATATTCTTCACACATTGCCTTTTTCCACTTTTCATCAGTGAGAGCTTCTTCAACTGTGTTGGGCTCACCTGGTTCGCCTGTGGAACAAACTAGACCATATTTGATTAGATTTTTATAATTTTTCGGTTGAAGTAAACCTCTCTGTAGCCTTGTGCGTTGTGGCGGTGATGCAGCAGGATCAGCAGGCGCAGAGGATCCCGCAGGAGCCAAGTCAGCGGCGGGACCCGAGGAAGATCCGCCTGCCGCTGCCAGTTCGAGGCGAACAGGATCTTCTGTGGCGGCAGCTGAAGGCGATGGTGAGGAAGGAGGCACAGAAGATCCGGGGCAGCCTGTCGGCTCATCATGAGCCCATGATGGCGCGGGCCCATCAGAATCAGCGGCTAGTCCCGCGTCCGCCTGACGCGTGATGGCGCGCCGCCTGTAGCAGACCGGTTGGTCCGCGAAGCGCGTGCGATCCGGGCCATCATCACGCTGCCGCGTGGCAGCAGGAGATTGGCTCGGGCTGGGAGGCGCGTCTTGTCCTGTCGGGGAAGGCCGCGCGTCACGCCGCGGTTCGCTGGCGCCCGTGCGCCCGACAGCGCCTGGCGCGTCTGGCCCGTCTGTCACAGGCGTGCGGTTGGCGGCTGGAACAGATCTCGAAGACGATCGCCTAGGCGTCTGCAGCTCCGATCCCGAGGGGGATATGCTCCCCAAGCCGCGGCACATGTGATGAGGCTCATTTGAGTTGATTTCTTCGCCATTTTCATCTCTATTTCCACTGTTTTGTGCTCCTGTAACATCACCAGATGACTTATGCGCAGTGTTAAGAGGGTTAGCCAACATATGATCATCACAATTATTAACGCCCCCTTGATCATATCCGGAAAGACTAGGAGGAAGCAGAAGAATTTCTTTTTGGAGGAGAGCACCGGCATTAGGATGAAGATCTGAAAAAGGGAATTTGGTCTCATCGAAGACGACATCTCGTGAGATGTAGACACGACCAGTGGAAATGTCAAGGCATTTGACACCCTTGTGTTGGGCACTGTACCCAAGAAAGACACATTGCATGGACCTAAACATGAGCTTGCGCTTGTTGTAGGGGCGTAGGTTAGGCCAGCACGCACAGCCAAACACACGAAGTGTAGAGTAGTCTGGTTTAACATGAAGAAGCCGTTCTAATGGAGTTTCATTATTGATGACTCGACTTGGGAGCATGTTAATAATATGAACAGCAGCAAGAAATGCCTCATCCCAAAACTTGAGTGGCATGGATGCATGAGCGAGAACTGCAAGGCCAACTTCAACAATGTGACGGTGTTTGCGTTCGGCCGAGCCATTTTGTTGGTGAGCGTGGGGGCATGACACATGATGGGAGATGCCAAGGGTTTGGAAGAAGGAATTTAACTTCTCGTACTCCCCACCCCAGTCGGATTGGACAGCAATGATTTTTGAGTCAAATTTACGCTCAACAAGTGCTTGGAAATTTTTGAACACTTGAAAGACGTCGGATCTTTTCTTAAGAAGATACATCCAAGAAAATTTGCTGTAGTCATCAATAAAGCTTACGTAATATGTGTGTCTACCAACGGAGCTAGGGGCAGGCCCCCAAACATCAGAAAAAATTAATTGCAATGGCTGAGTAGAAACACTAGTAGAAATTGGATATGGCAATTGATGACTTTTAGCTTGCTGACAAGAATCACAAATAGTTTCAACATTGCGCTCACCAACATACGGGAGCTTATTTCTCCTAAGGAGTTTTTCAACTAAAGCAAAAGAAGCATGTCCTAAACGATCGTGCCATCGTGTTGACGAGAGTTTGACAACACCAAAAGCTTGTTTATTGAGTCTTGTGTGCTCCGGAATCAATGGGTAAAGCCCTCGAACACATCTACCGCGATAGAGAATTCTCCTCGTGGCCTGATCCTTGATCAAAAAGAAATATGGATGAAATTCAAGAAAAACATGATTATCAAGGGCAATCCTATGAACAGAAAGGAGACTTTTATTGGCACTAGGAACATGCAAGATTTTCTTAAGATGAATTTTTCTACGGGGAGTGTTAAAAATTGAGTGACCAATGTGGTGTATCCTCATACCTTCACCACTAGCTGTGTGGATTTGGTCCTTGCCGCAGTACTTCTCCTTCATGGTCACTTTCTCAAGTTCGTTGGTGATGTGGTTGGTGGCACCACTGTCGACGTACCAGTTGGTGTCGATCCCATAGGAGCCATCCGCAGCAACAGCAACTTTGTCTTCATCTTGAGAGGAGTCGTCGTCGTCGTCGTAGCGGTACCAGCAGTCTTTGGCCGTATGCCCTAGCTTACCACAGATTTGGCAACGAGGAGCATCCGGGCGTGACCTGGTGGAACCACCACGGCGGCCCCTGTTGTTGCCAGATGAGGAGCACCCGCCGCCACCGCGAGTGTTGCTGTTGCCGTTGCCGCCGCCAGAGTTCTTGCCCTTGTTGCGCGGTGGCCCGCGCTGATGAGAGGAGCCGCCGCCACGGCCGCGGTAGGCGGCGTTGGCAGACGACTTGAAGCCGCCCGAGGACTGGAACAGCGCCACGCGCTGATCAAAATTGCTCATCATGGAGAAGAGCTCGTCGATGGAGACCGGCGTGACGCGGGCGTCGAGGGCAGACACCAGGGGCTGGTAGTCCATGTCCATCCCATGGAGAAGATAGCAGACAAGTTCATCATCTGGCAGCGGCTTGCCAGCCGCGGCGAGTTCGTCCGCGAGACCGCGCATGTGGGCGAAGTAGGTGGAGACGGACTGCGTCCCCTTCTGCGCGTTGATGAGGGCCATGCGAATATTGTTCACCCGGCTGAGCGACTGGGACGAGAACATGCCCGCCAGAGCAGCCCAGAGCGCGGGCGACGTGATGATCGCGGTCACCTGCACGAGGACCTCCTTGGACAGGTTGTTGAGCAGGTAACCAAGAACCTGCTGGTCCTCCCTCACCCAGATTGGGTGGAGAGGGTTGGGCGTCGATGACTCCTTCCCGTCTTTGTCCTTGGTGACGAGGAGTCGGGCCGGCTCCGGTGTGGTGCCGTCGGCATAGCCGAAGACACCGGCGCCCCGCAGCTGTGGCACGATCTGGGCGCGCCACAGAACGTAGTTCGTGCGGGTAAGTTTCTCCGTGACCTGCTGCTGTTGAGGTTTGGGTGGGAGGAGCTGGAGGAAGACATGGCTAGGGCACTAATGGAGATGAGCTAGGCTAGATGAGATTGGAAGAGGAGGCTCTGTATACCATGTGCGAGAGCGGAAACGTCTTACCTCGATGTGAGGCGATGTGTTGCGTGTTATATGCAGGGGCGCAGGTTCCCTGGATAGCGCATACATGCGGTTTGAAGAGAATCAGGAGTACAACTTGGAGAGGAAGAATAGAGGAGATAAGGCTAGCTAGTTACAACAGAAAAGAGATAACAAGCCCGGCTCTAACAGCCTCTATACGTATCTACGTTGATCTCCTGCACATATACGCCGCACATATACGCCTTGTTTGACAATAATGCGTCCTGACGAAGAGACACGGGATATATTGTGCGCTATCCCAAAGATGTTAGTATGTGCGTGATTTCGGCTCCCTTATTCAGAGAGCACCGACTCTCTGTATGTACTAATGTACAGGTATGTTTATCTTTGATTTCTAAATGATTGACCATTTTCGTACAGGGAGGGTATACTGGAGGTTGCAATTAAAACATCATACGAAGACGATGGGGAGAAGATGCCGTTGAAGGGCAAGGTGGCCTTGTTCTCCTGCAAGATGATCGTCAACTACTTGTACTCCACGTGGCTCTTGTTGCTCCTCTATGGCATCTACCTCCGCCCATACGCTGTCCGGCCAAACGTGGACGCCGCCGCCCTCGCGGCCTTTGACCTCGCCCCGGACAACATGCTCCGCTACGACCTCGCCGCCAACATCACCTTCTTCAACGACCACCGGGTCTGGGCCATCCGCTTCAACCACTTCTCCGCGAGCCTCTACTTCAACGGCACCAAGCTCAGCCCGCCCGACGACACCTTCCCAAAGTTCAAGGGCAGACTGCGCCGGCACCGCACCGTGCACCCCGTGCTGCGCGGCCGCGCCAGCAACGTCAGCGCCGCCGTGGCGGAGGAGTTCTCCTGGCAGCGAGCGCAGGGGTGGTTCACCGTCGAACTCAGGCTCAGGGCCACGTTGACTTATCTCGTATGGCCCACACGGCACGTCTACTACTATGAGTACGACTGCTGGCTACCTTTCCCAAGCAACACCACGCCGGCGGTGATCGGCGGCGTCAAGTGCAGCAAGGGCAAACGGTTTGGGCTTTCCTGATTTATCTTGCACAGTATGTCGCGCGGCTAGTTTTTTGGTTTCAATGCTAAGTCAGTACTGTCGGCAATGTATCGCGGTGAAAACAAGCTGCTCATATTATATTTCGGTATTGCTATTTCTAAGATTTCTCGGTCAATTGATTGTTCTTGCTCATGGCTGTGTTGAGTTTTATTCATGATAGTTTATGGTGAACAAGTTCGGGGTTTCTAATTCTCAGTCAATGCTATACTCGTGAGATCTTACGTGAAGATCTGTGCAAATTTTGGTTTCAATTTTTTTTTATAAGTCACCCAAACAATTTATACCTTCTATTCATACCTACCAACAAAGTGTTCACTGTGATTTCTATTTCTGTTCACACCAATCAATGTTATTCCAAAAACGAGGTTAATTAGAACCCTAACATCTACCTCGTTACGATTCACACAATCATCTTTATTAAAATTGATGTAAAGCAACAAGGCCAACGATATTCAGCAAGCAGAGATAAGAAAATACGGTATTTCGGTTCTCAAATTTTGTTCAGGGTGATACCCTTTTTTACTACTGAAAACCCCAACTTAGCCAAGTATTTTGTTTTTTGCCGAGTTCATTACATCGGGGAACTCAGCAAAAGTGTTTTTTGTGAAATTCCTAAAAAAAACTACTCGGCAAAAAAGCAAAACTCGGCAAACAGACACTTTGCCAAGGGTCATGGACAAAACTCTCGGCCAAAACGCAAAACTTGGCAAACAGGCCTTTTCATAGTGCTACACTCGGTAAAAGAGCATCTCACTATGATGCACTGTTTTAGCTGTCGAGGTTGCATACGACCTCGAAAAGAAGGTCAGAAAATCAAAGTTGTTCATTTTGACGAGACGGAAATTTTTTATGTTGACAACTATTTTATTTTGGGATTTCTATTTTTATGCCCTAGTTGCTTAGTTCTACTTAGTTTTGCCCCACCCAACTAACATCCCTCACTATTCCCCTCCTCCACTCAGCCCACACTAAAAAATGCCTAAAATGGAGTGTTGTCATCGGGTCAAAGTAGTTGACCGTTATTTGGCTCATATACTGATGTGTGGGACACCCTAGAGCCCACCTGTCAGTGTCGGGTTTATTGGCAAAAAAAGTGTGGAATATAATGATGTAGGATCGAAAGTATGTCTAGAGGAGGGTAATTAGACTACCTAACCAAATAAAACTTAACATTTTCCCAATTTTAGTTGTAGGCAGATTTTAGCAATTCTGACAAGTCAAGTATCACCCTACACATGCAATTCTAAGAGTATAGCAGCGGAAAGTAAAACATTGCACATGTAAGTAAAGGAGGGGTTTGGAGATTTCAAACGCAATGAAGACACGATAATTTTTTGTGTGGTTCCGATAGGTGGTGCTATTGTACATTCATGTTGATGGAGACTTCAACCCACGGAGGGTAACGGTTGCGCGAGTGCATGGAGGGCTCCATCCACGAAGGGTCCACGAAGAAGCAACATTGCCTATTCCACCATGGCTTGCGTCCACGAAGGACTAGCCTCACTCGGGTAGATCTTCACGAAGTAAGCGATCTCCTTGCCCTTACAAACTCCTTGATTCAACTTCACATGGTCTTGGAGGCTCCCAAGTGACACCTAACAAATCTAGGAGGCACTACTCTCCAAAAGGTAATAGATGTTGTGTTGATGATGAACTCCTTACTCTTGTACTTCAAATGATAGTCTCCTCAACTCTCTCTCTCTCTCTCTCTCTCTCTCTCATAGATTTGGCTTGGGTAGGAGAAGGATTGGAGTGGAAAGAAACTTGAAGAGGCTAGAAATCAAGGTTCAAATGGTAGGAATGGAATCTCCTGATCTCAACACATGAGTAGGTGGTTCTCTCTCAGAAAATGAATGGTGAAAGTTGTGTTTCGTTCTGATGGCTCTCCTTGAGAGTAAGTGGTGGTGGAGGGATATAAATAGGCAGCACAAAATCCAACCGTTACAAGTCTTTGACCCAACTCGGTGGCACCGATCTGAAAATCTCGGTGAGACCGACTAGTGCAAAAGACTTGAACGTTAGCATTTTCGGTGAGACCGATTATACCATCTAGGTGGGACCAAAGTGCAATGGCTAGGTGATACGGAGCATCCCCGACTACCCGCACCGACACTCCATCACCACTGCAAGCACCAAGAGGACCAATGACTAGAGCACGTGCACGCAACATCGAGAACGAGGTCACTTCTTTCCTCTCCGAGTTTCGTTCGGTTTCACTTGAGAATGGGATTCTACCTCAAAGAGATACACTATGCGTTCTTAGGTACATTGGAGATCATCGTGAGGAAGCAAGGATGAAGGCCCAAGCACCCGCGGAACAAGAGAAGGAAGAAGAGGTCAAGAAGAATGAAGGCGAGAAGCTCCTGGACACCCCGGGTGCCCTAACGGAAGGACCCCGGGTGCCTGGACTCAAACACATGGGGAGGTCCGAACCCCCTGGACACCCCGGGTGCCCGGCCATCTCGGCCTTGGGTGCCCGGCCTCTGCCTGGGCTGCACCCCAGCCAGCCCCGGGTGCCCGGCCACAAGGCCTCGGGTGCCCGGCCCTCCACCTGGGCCTCACCCAACCTGCCCCGGGTGCCCGGCCAACCGGCCCCGGGTGCCCGGCCCTTGCCCCGCCAGCCGCTGGGCGCCACCCCGGGTGCCCGGGCTTGGGACCTCCAAGTGCCTGGCCACACTCCAACAAGCCCCTGATCGGTCCGGGTGCCCGGCCGGTTCCTCCCCGGGTGCCCGGACCCTTCTTCTGTGGCCACGCGTTTTAGGGACTTTTTAGTCCTTTGTGCCCCTCTTTCTCCTAGTTTCGTCCCTAGCCTTTATATACTCATCTCCTAGCCCATTTGGAGGGACAGCAAAGTATTTTAGATCACCAAAGAGAGCTTTGCTCCTTGTATCCCCTCCTCTTGGAGATCAAGCCCCCACCTAGGGAAGAATCCTTTGGATTGTCAAGGCCTCCTCTTGGAGAAGATCATCATCAAGACCTCACCTAGTGGGAAGAAATTACCTAGTGCTATTTTCTTTGAAGTGTTCATGTAATCTTGTGGACCTAAAGTATGCTACTCTAGTGGATGTGATATTTGGGTTTGTTTGAGTGTTTTGGTGCCTTGTGTTCTTGAGTGTTCTTCCTCCTTTTCCCCCTCCAAGTGTGAAAAGATCCCCTCTAGGGTTTCACCCTACAACATCTTGCTATCAGAGCAAGGTTGATTCACATCTTGGAGTCCCATCCCCCCATTTGCTAGCTTGATTTTGTTGTTTTTCATCCAAATTCGAAAATCCCCACAAAAATAGCCCCAAAAAAATTTCTTGCAATTTGTTGCATCTTGTGAGATTTGGTTGTTTTGGTCCATGGATTTGATGTTTGGCAAGTGGATCTAGCCCCTCCCCAACAATCCCCACCCTTCCCACCATGAAATCCCTGAAACTTTGCATTTCCCCTAAATTTTCCGCCCAAACCAGAGACCACCGGGTGCCCGCACCTCGAACTACCGGGCACCCGTGCCCCCGGGCTGTTTGCCCCAGCCGACCCCGG